CGTGTCATTTTCGTTCCTTGCACCCTTCACTCTCTACCCAAGATACACTGAAAAAAAAAACTCCCAACACAAAAATACATCGAATACAAACTTGAACGAAACCAACGAAAACGTAGGTAAAAACCGAAAGAGAGAAAGCAAAACAGACAAAACAGAAACGAGTCAAATCAATTGCATTTGCGTTTTTTTTTTTAATTAAATTTTCTTAAATGGGGAAAGCATTCTATTACGCTTTGCTGTTACAGTTTATATTTTCGCCGCACCACTTCCCTCTAGTGGTTGACGGTGGCGGCGGCGGCGGCGTCATTTGACGCATATTCGCACAGCACAGCAGCTCACACCAACCAGCAGACACACTAAACTAAACATATCCATAATGCTCCCCGCATTTGACCCTGTGTTGGTGTGCGAATGAAATGAAACTGAAATACATGCCACAACGAAAGTGCCACATGAACACACAAGCAAACTCAGACTACAACAAAGAAACAAATGAAAAATGAAAAAAACGGATGTAATCAAAGTAAGGAAGCATATAACTCAAAGTCAAAGTGAAGTAGACACACAAGAAAACAATAAGAAAGACTGGTACGGTTCCTCGACAAGAATCAATTTATACAAAAAATGACCCTATTATGTATAGCCTATATATATATGTAGAAATACACAATACACCTAGGAGCTTTATATGCGGAGAAAAGTAATACGCTTAAAGTAAAACACACTCGGACTGGGTAAAAACTGCCCAGCAAAAAAAAAGAAGAAGTAAGAATGGTAATTCAAAACGAGTGTTCAAATGGACAATAACAAAGAAACCCAGCCCCAATATTTTATAAATTAATGTAACCAACTGATGGAGAGAAGAAAGACCGGAAAAACAAACACACAACTATTAATCGAGAAAGTTCCTTGTAAGGCAAACCGCGAAAGTGAAGGATTTCAACTGGAGCAAAGACGGGGAACCTCCTTTTTTCGCCCACCCCCGGATATCGCTATTTGTATACATTTCTCGCTGCGATGTTGTACTGCTATATAGTACTTCGTACAAGATTGATTTTTCGGAAATTGAAACACTGTTCAGCAGATATTTGTGCCTTTTTATGAAGTATGATTTATGTACTAGTTCTATATATTATTTTACTAAAACAAAAAATCAACCGAAAAAAATGATAGTCATGTATGATGATAGGCTAAGATGAACCTCCCTTAAACAACAACCCCCTATTCGCCTGTAAGTAGTTAAGCTATGCAACTGAGAACGTTTTTTTTTTTTAGGTAGGAACTTCGTATTTAACGACTAGTAAGCACTTATACTCTGTACATATCGAAAAAGTCCTGTGCAAATGCGAAAAAGAAAAATCCGTTCTTCCACGATACGTTAGGACATAGTCATGCAATGTTTTTTTTTATGTTTGAAAAAATCTATCACATATACACGAACCGAACTGCCAGCCAGCCAGCATCCATGCATAGATATCATTGTTAGGCTTAACATATTTCAACCATATCAACAACCGAGACAACGAAGCACAAGACACGTACAACAATAGCCATGTAGTGAACTCTCAAAACTCCCCCGTCTTTCCTGTGTACATACATTATACAACTGTTTTACAGTCTTCCTCCTAAGGATCGATAATTTACAAACCCACTAGGAAACAACAACAAAACTGAACATAAATCAATGCAATAGAATTAATCATCAATCACTTCCCACAAACTCATTTCACACACACAAACACATTTATTTTTCGCAACACTCATGATTTATAGATCCGAGCTACAGTCAAAAAAAAAACTACTTTCGCTGTGAAAAGAAACACATATATCCTTAATAATTTTATATGTATACACAACATTTAAGTGATGCATTTTGACGACATATTTCAGGATTGAATCTAAAACCTCAAGATTTCAAATTTAAGTGCAAAAACGACGAAGATTGTCATAAAAGGGCGCAATTAATAGTAATTATAGATTTTTACAAAACAAAGCAAACAAAACCGTTCCGATGTTCGCTGATTTCGGTAGCTGAAGATATCACCCGCCATGGTTGGTAATTCCAACTGACAGCAATCTACCGAGCGTCTCCACTTGAATGGAACAGCTTGCTTGCAATCTGAACTGTAGCTGAACTTGCATGCAACTTGAAGCAAGTCCAGTTGGAAAATCATGCCCGGACTTTGAATACTCGTTAATCCGACTGGCAAATCCATTCCTATTAGATTATCCATACAGAACAATCAGAACAAACAGACAGTACAAATCTGATAATTGACAGCACAATGTATTGAAATACCTGTTTACACTCATTAATCCGGCGGAGACCCGGCGAACCGGATTTTGAATGCCCACGATGACTTTCTACAGAATTGTATGAAATAAAAAATAACTAGGTAGACCATGCTTTTATTGTTGCGTCAAGAGACGAACCAGCCCAAGGCTGAAAGTCTCTCTAATAACGAAAAAATCAAATATTTTATAGTGAAATCAATTGGTAGGGGAAATGGATGTAATGTCGGCCTGAATGCCCATAATTTGGGCCCATACATAAATTCAGCAATCAACTAAATTTTCAATAGCGACCAAAAATATACATTAGTACCGTCCCAATGACGCGTTCATCTAGATAAAATTGATAGATAGCAGATTTCTAGCGACGGGCCGAATCTTAGATCCATAGGCCAATATTAGAGCCATTTCCCCTGATTACCCGTTTTGCAGCTGAATCCGAATGAGCTTTTGTAAGTTGTCAAGCAATGTGGTATGTCATGGCCTAGCTAGTTATTCCCAATCTAATATTTTACCTCTCCTCCGGTAAAATGAAAGTCAATTAAAACTAGGGTTGAAAAAATATTAAGATAGGGGAAGATGGGGTAGCTTCGCAGGGACTTTTACTTTCCTTGGAAGGACTGTTATTTACAACGATGAGTCGTATGCGGATCTGCGATGATTATCTCTCCAGTGTGTGCCGTGTTTGTGAAGATGTATAGTTACCGACATATTTTTCAAAATTAAAGATTTCAATTTTTACGTTAATTGCAAAAAATATGTTTTGGATTTTTTAGCAATCATATCGGGGAAAAGTTGGCTTCGGCAATGCCTTAACCTATTATCGTCAGGGGGTAAACAAAGTCCTAGAGCACTCACATTTGGTCAATAGTTGCTCTGAAACACAATGTATCCACATGCCAAAATTGAGCTCTCAAGGACGTTGTTTACCCCCCTGACAATAATAGGTTAAGGTATTGCCGAAGAAAACTTTTCCCCTCGTCATATTGCAATTTTCGCCATCATATTGTCGTATTCGTAAATTAGAAAGATTTTGAACGTTAATAACTCAGCTGCCCCTGGACCAATTTCAATAATTTTATCACCAATCGATCAGAAATATCGTAATGTTAAATTTTAAGACTTTATCATTTTTCAAAATGTCACTTTTGAAAATTGCACGAATGTGCAACTGTTGCTATGATAATTAAAATTATCACCCATTGCCTGCGAAAAGCGATTTCCCTAACTCGGATTTCAAAGTTGAATTCCATCCGGTCTCACCAAACGGCGTTTATTCAATCACCGCGTGGTAAGTGGTGGTGTTCTCCAGTACACAACGAAAGGCTGCCTGCCAGCAGCGAGCTGCAGCCCACAGGAAGAAGCCGTACCGCTATTGATCGGAATCAGTACCTCTTTGTGAGTCGCATGTTCAGCTTTAAAGGCTCAGTAGACCAGCACATCATCCAGATAGTTTTTACAGCCTGTACAGCCAGCCAGGATCTTGCGTTGTAGAGCCTCTTGAAACAGGTCGGGAGAATTACACAGGCCGAAGGGCAATCTCGCATAACGGAAAATACCAAATTCCATATAGAAATTGGTGAGATGTCTGGATTCTTCATCAAGACATTTGACAGATCAATTGTCGAAAATCATTTCGCGCCGTTCAACTCTGCCAGAATCTTTTCTATAGTGGGCATTGCAGTGCGGTAGATGCATCGGTTGGGTCCCCGGAGATCGACGACCAGGCGTATGTCATTCGTCCCTTTCGGGACCACCAACGTTGACGAACAAAATGCTGTGTCCATGCCATCTACAATATGTTCGATGATATTCGCTGATACCAAACCTTCCAACCTCTTCTCGACCTACGGCCTGACTGCTAGTGGTATGTTTGAAAACACATTTCTAGACGGAGATTTTTACTGGCGGAATGTTGAATTTGGGAAAAATCTGATTATTTTCTATCGCAGCAATCTCTCCGGCCCAGCGGACTGTTTCATAAGAGCATTGTGAACAGGTACCATCAGGCCAAGCATCAATATATTGTATCTAGGAGAAGTTTGTCTGTTAAGGAGTGCTCGACTTTCCCTGACTACGTAAAACTTCTCTAGCAGCATGGGTCTATCTTCAGTGATGTAAAGGTGCACGTTGCGAGAACGTCGATGTTTTTTCTCTGTTGCATACGCTTTGATTGGACGGTCTACATAATCCTGGATGTTGAATACCTCCTTACTAAAATCAGGAGTCTCGATCAGCTTTTGGAACATATGTTCGGTGAAAGTGTTCACCGTAAATTTTCTCAAACTCTTTGCCATCGTCGTATCCACAAAGTTGAGCCGTAGATCCAACCCTGATGATGAACGCTATCCGAACCCGAGCCAAAGTACGATTTGAGTCGGTGCATTGCGTTGGAAAAAGGCTTTGTTTTTGGATCCGGATCGTCATTTTGGGATTTTGTGTTCCGGAATATCTGAAATAGCTTTACTCCCGCTTTCACTTTGAATACAGTTGTGTTTATTCTACGAATGGAGTGAGGGGAGATGATTCGACTCACTTTAATAGAGCGATTCCAGCTGTCGAATGCAGTGAGAAAGGTCACTGTGAATGAACCCGCATGAACTCTCGCTCTATTCCAACATTCGAGTTATATCGACTTTTGTCGGTGCATCGTGACTTTCCGAGTCGTGACGTTTTGACTTGTCGACTGGTGTTAAAAAGCATGAAACATGGAGGTGAAGAAGTAAGATTTTTTTTCTTGTGATCAAATTTGTATTTTTTGACGAAAACTGTTCTAATTTCAGGGTGCGCGTTACAAATCGCAAACAATTTGAAATGCTTGTGTCGATGTTGGAGGAACATCCTCCAGTAGCCAAGGGCCAAAAGTTTTGCGAGGTGATGCACATTTCGAAGCAAAACTACACCGAAATATGGGACGGTATCCGCAAAAAGCTGAACAGTCTGGGCCCTCCCATGAGAACTGTTGAGGGGTGGCAAAAAGTAACTATTGAACAAGTTTTCCTTTATTATGATAACTTCCTAGCGGTTTAAACCCACCCGAATGAAAAAAACCTATCCTGTATTTGTACCATAATTAAGTATTCATAGAAGCTCTTCAATTACTTGACTCAACTTTCAGGTTTGGTCGGATTACCGCCAAAATGTTAAACATAAGCTTGCGTATAACAAAAAGGAATCTCAAGCTACGGGAGGTGGTCGAAATAAGATGAACGTACTTTCATCATGCGAAGAGGCTGTGGTGAAACTGTTGGCGTTGGACAGAACGGTAAACCATTCAGGTATTGTATTACTTTTTATTGCCTTTTCTGGGTGGCTACTGGCCACTTATTCGTGCGATGCAGTATATGTGGTATAAAAATCGGTAATTCCGTTGAATTTGTTATTAAATTTGGTATCTCTATTTAATTTCGGTTCATGCATTTTCATATGTAGATTTTACAGTGCACAAGTTTAAAACTTGTTTTCAAATTCAGTGGCCATCCTTATTTTTTACCTTCAAATGTAGCAGATTCTTAAATTAGGATTTTTTTTTACATTCTTCAGGTTCCGTATTCGGCATTCCACAAGATGAACCTTCATCGCATCGATCTTCACATGTTTCGCCATCATTCCGTGAGCTACTCTCGAGTACACCGCAGCAAGCTATGCTTCCCATTCCAGAATCACCGATATTGAATGAGGATGACCAAGAATCGGAAAATATTGAGAACATAAATACAACGAACAGGATTGACAGAAACGGGAACATTCAACTAGCCAACAAAAGCCACAAAAGAAAGAAAGAGGAAGAAGAAACAAAGATGGGTATGCTAAGAAAGCAAACGGAATGTATGAAGACGATGGCAGACGACGCCAGAGAGACGGCCCGATACACGCGTAAAATCTACAAGCTGAAGGAGGAGCACTATAAGAGGAAACAAGAACACATGCTGGCAAAGGAGAAGCAAAAAAGCGAAGAGCTGCAGTTCAAGATGCAACTCCTGAAATACAAGAAGCGTAAGCTGGAGTTCCTAGAACGAACTGCATGAAGGGCTAAACGCAACATGGGGAGAATCGGAATGGAGACGGCAAGATGTGTATCCGATGTCGAGGAAGTTCTAGCTAGTTTTCCATTATTATTATCCTATTTTATTAAGATTGAAGTTTCCGCAACGTTGCCGATCCGCTTCCGCTGTCATCGCGTTCTAGCCTTAACTTCAAAGTGATATTTCTATTGATTTGAGAAAAATAAACCAAAGTTTCGAAGCAGTTGGCAAATACTAAGGGGTCCTTATTACACCCATAGCTCCTCCTCCGCTCCTACCATTAAAACCTAAATTCATCCACCAACGGTGTGATCGAACCCTTATATTGCTTATATGCTCTAACGGTATGATCTGACCACAGATAAACAGACATAACACTCGTAAGTTATTCATTGAACAAGCATTTATCGATCAATTTAAAAGTACAGTCAAGATTCCTATAGTACGGTTAAAAGGGACTGCACTATATGAACTGGCATTAACGAATACACGTAGCATGTGGGATTAGAGCTAATTGGGGACAAACTCTTATTTTAGGGTAATTTGAAGAGATAACTTCCTGGTGTCTTCTGAAAAAATATTGAACAGAAAATTTGCCACCTTTGGGAACATTCAGCATCTGGAAAGTCACGAATCTGATCCTCCCGAAGACCCGGAAAATCCGTAAAAGTGGTCAATTCATGAAACTAATCCTAGAGCTCCGCGGTTTTTTCGAAACCGCTCATAGACGTCTTATCAGAATTAATTCGGAGTTGTGACCTGAATATGGTTCCAAGGGACCACGTGATGGTTCACCGGAAGATCCGGAAACTCCGTTAAAGTGGTCAATTCATGAAACTGATCCTAGAGCTTCATGGTTTTTTCTAAACCACTCATAGATGTCTTATCAGAATGGATTCGGAGTTGTGACCTGAACATGGACCCAAGGGACCACGGGATGGTCCAGTGGAAGAGCCGGAACATCCGTAAAAGTGGTTAATTCATGAAACTGATCCTAGAGTTCAACGGATTTTTTTGAAATCACTCCTAGACGTCTTATCAGAATGAATTCGGAGTTGTGACTGGAATATGGACACTGGAGACCACGGTATGGTGCTCTGGAATATCCGTAAAAGTGGTCGAATCATGAATCTGATCCTAAAGCTGCGTGGTTTTTTCGAAACCGCTCATAGACGTCTTATCAGAATGATTTTGGAGTTGTGACCTTACTATGGGCCCAGGGAACCACGGGATGGTCTACCTGAAGATCCACAACATCATTAAAAGTGGCAGATTTATGAAACTGATCCTAGAGATCCGCAGATTTTTCGAAACCTCCCATAGACGTCTTATCCAGACATGGCAAATCATTTACATTCATTTTGTGCATTCATTTACATTCCGTAAAATTATGTGTGAAGTTTTTGTAGGTATTGAGATTAGCTACAATTTTTGTAAAAGACTCAAATTTGTATCTCTTATGCATGATGAACCAGAGCGAACAGAACCCACCATTGTTTTTCAGTGAATGTAAATTACATTCACTGAAAAACAATGACAAGTTCTGCCCTCTCTAGTTCATCATGCATAAGAGATACAGGTTTGAAATATTGACAAAAGTTGAAGCTATTATCAAAACCTACAAAAGCTTCATACATCGTTTTACGGATTTCTGTTGATGAAAAAAGTTAGAGGCAAATGAATGTAAATGAATGCACGAAATGAATGTAAATGATTTGCCATGCCTGGTCTTATCAGAATACATTCGGAGTTGAGACCGGAATTTGGACCCTGAGGACCACGTGATGGTCCTTCGGAAGATTCGGAATATCCGTAAAAATGGTCAATTCATTAAACTGTTCCTTGACCTCCACGTTTTTTTTTCAAAACCACTCATAAACGTCTTATCAGAATGAATTCGGAGTTATGACCGGAATATGGGCGCTGGGTTTCACGGGATGGTTTTTGTATGAGGAATATCCCAGTGCACATACTCAATGGATGGGAAACTATTTTTAATGCACAAATGAGCAATTGTTACCCCCAAACACAAAGATTGTCGAGTAACGCAAAAACAAGTTACTCGGGGGAACGTTGATGAATGTGGGTAACAATTATTAATTTTTGGGAAACAAAATTTAAACCATCCATTGGATATGTGCACCTAGATATATTCTCCAATCAAAATTCCACAATCGAGTACTGCAGCAATCCATACATTTATTTCTCATTTGTGGGTAAATTTTAATATTTTGTAGGTTAAAAATTGTAACCATTTAGCAACATGGATTTACACGCTAAAACAAGCTACTTAATTTTTAAATTTTGCATGTAGAAGTACCTTTTCAAAATGTGAGGTTTTGAATATTTTTTTTCTTTTTTTGAACACTTTTGCGTCATTTGTGATTTTTCCGGGGCTGAGATTTTAATTCAAAACTTTAGCTTTTGAGGTATGGATGCTAACCACTCATCGGCGTGTCACTCCAAAGACAAATGAATAGTTATTTTTTAGCTAAAAATGAATAATTGTAAACCACATTCATCAGCGTTCCTTCGAGTAACTTATTGCGTTTGTGGGTAATTGTTAGTCATTTGTGCGTTAAAATCCATAACCCATCTATGAAACACTCAAAAAAAAAGGAAATTTAGACTTTTTTCCATGCCAAATCCAGCCTCGCCGTTTCATTCATTCGATGCATAAAAGTCGAATAGTAATGGCTTGTATAAATAGATTAAACACTTTGGTTTTAATTTAATACTTTATGAACGTGATTTTTAGCCGAAAACTAGTTCAACATGGAGATAATTTACACTGTTATACCACAAACGAAGTGACAGACGGAGCGGCTCGAAAACTTTGGTGACTAACCTGCTATTTCAATTTTTCAGTGTACCACATGGCAACACCACTACTTCTGGATTGTACCACATGGCAACACTACTACTGGATTGTACTAGCATTTTCACCAAATGTATTAGAATGTTTTGGTTCTATCTCTTTCACTCTACTCAAAACTGAAATGCATAAAAAATGGCAAAATGATACACTCTTTGCACACTGTCAAAGAATCATTGTACACAAAATCAACTTTGTTCAAATCAAAACAAAAAAACTAACCCATCTGGTGGATGATGGCACAAGCTTCCAAGAAAATTCTATTACAGTGAACCACATTATTTTAATTGATTTCTTCGCCAGTTAGTCGTCTGTCACTTCGTTTGTGGTTATACTTACTTTTTAGTCAAATTTAGTTTTCTTTCAGTTATTTTGACATGCATATCTGCTGCACATATTTTATGTATGGTATAACAAAAAAAAATATGCATTTTAAGAGTATTATAATGTTCATTGGGAGTTTTTGTCAAACTTGTAATGTATTTTAAAGATTTTAAAGTTGGCCAGTTTTATTTGATTAGTACCGTACATATTGAAAATCAATGATCCATCATTTACATTGATATAATATACTCGGAAAAAATCTGTTCCCATATTCGTAAACGGCGTAGAAGCCGAGTAGTAAACGAATTAAATTCAACAGTTTTGAATTCGTTTAATGTAAAATTTGACAAATTTTATAACTCTTAAAATACTCACATTTTATTTTGGCAAATCAATTTAATTTCACGGAATAATTTCATGCCTCAAAGACATCCGTGTGTTTGATGCCACCAAAAAAATTTATGAAGTAGATGTCTGTGTCTAATAAACTAAAGTTCAAATAGACAGGCTTATCATAAAAAGTATTTCAAAAGTGCATATTTTTTATGCATAGCGATGTATAAATAAAGTTAAGTCAAAGCTTGCATTGAAAATACCCTATTTACTACTTTGATTATTTTTGGGTGAATATGTGCACCTTTTGGAGAGATGTGTAGTTTCTCATAGAACAAGCAGAATTTTTGGGTACCGTAAAACGACATTTGACATTCTTTGAAGAATATTATAAATATTTTTTACCACAACTAAAGTTTGTTAAATTTTTTTAAAGTAAGTACTGAGGATCGAGAAACGAAGTGCTCAATTTTTGCCCCTTATTTTTATGTAACAAAATATCCATCTCGCTTATGCGATCTTTCAAATCATGGGGTAGCTATATTATAGTCAACCAATACATTTTGCAGATAATATCGGATGTTACCGAGAAAAAGCACTTCGAAGCGATGATTTTTATTTATTTACTAATTCGTCGCCAATCAAACGTCGACTATTTCAGTTATAACAAATATATAACGTCTAGTTTTGTCACGTCGATCGTTTCGCAATAAACGTACATCATTCTATTTAACAGCCCATTTCTAGCAAAATTTCTTCTTTGATTGTTGAAATGAAAGAAATTTATGTTTCTTAGAGGACGAGTAGGAGCATAAATCTCTGTGGCGTTCACCCTTGCGCAATAACATCGTTTATCAAATGCTATCATTGCAATATCTCTTCGTCTCTATATTAATTCGCGACATACATCGCGACGGATGTTCCAGATCTTCCGGAATATGTACTATCCCGTGGATCCCAGGATCCATTTTCTCCGAATTCATAGCTATAAGACTTCCATACATAGTTTCGGAAAAAATCTAGTTCTAGAATCAGTTTTTTGAATTAACCACTTATATGGATGCTCAAGATCATCCAGAGGTCCGTTCCGTGATACCCAGGGTCCATATTCCAGTCACAACTCCGAATTCATTCTGAAAAGACGTCTATGAGTGGTTTCGAAAAAAAAAACCATAGAGTTCTAGGATCAATTTCATGAAATGAACATTACGTGGTCCTTAGAGTCTATATTCTGATCACAGCTCCAAATTCATTCTGATAAGATATCTACGAGAGGTCTCGAAAAAACCACGGAGCTCGAGGATCAATTTAATGAATTGACCACTTTAACGGATGTTCCGGATCTTCCGGTGAACCATCATGTAGTCCTCAGAGTCTATATTCAGGTCACAACTCCGAATTCATACTGTTAAGATGTCTTTAAATTGTTTCGAAAAAACCGCGAAGTTATAGGATTAGTTTCATGAATTGA